CATACGACGAACCTTCTATTTTACTGGAGGGCAGTCCTCTTTTGTCGGCAGGCGATGAACCATAATATCGGTGTCAAGTCCTAGCATGTCTTTGTGTGACCATGAAAATATCTCGACATAATCATGCAACATCTGAGTTAATCGCTGTTTGACACTAAGCTCCAAATTTGCACTTATCTTGACTTCTTTTTTGTCGTCTTCTGTACCCAGATTCACTATCTCAATTGGCTCTTCATGAGGCTGTATAACCCTTTCTTCCTGTTGTAACAGTCTGACAAGTTCTCCTAGTACCTCACAATCTTCCTCACCTTCGTCCTCGGCTTGGTTGATCAGATTTTCAAAGTCATAACTGGCAATAGCAGAACCGTTATCAATGGGATCCATAGTGGATATGGATTTGCAGTTTGATGTGATGAAATAAATAAAGTAAAGCGAGACTTGTAAATAAAAACTTGCTCCAAATCGGAGGCTTTAAATCAGGTACAACTGGAAGTAAATGCGACTGCAAATGGAAATGGTGGCAGGATTAACTTCTACCAAAGTGCTCCAAACTCGATTACAAAATCTATCAATGGTGTGATAACTCTTCGATGTGAAGGGATTATCACTTACAAATCTGACAATATATGACTTAAGTATTTAACTAAGCTTGGATGAAAATAAAATGAAACTAGAACCTCCTATTTATAGAAAAACAACATTCCATGGAATTACCAAGGTGCCCCCCAACTCCTTTTGGGTGTGACACCATTTAACAAGGGTGGCACCCTCCACGCCCCCTATGGCGCCCGCCATATGTAAAAGGGTGGGAAGTTGAGGAGAACATGGCAGTTGAAACTAATCTATGTCATGGCCTACCCTATGGCGGGCGCCATGTTGGATGCCATGAGTACAATTTGCTCAAAAACTTGATTTCTTGCTCGTTTTTCTTCATTTCTTCAAGAGGGGCTATAGATAATCAAAATACTTGAAAACAAAACAAAAGCAAACATAACACAATAAAATGACAATAAAAACCCTAACAAACATGTGCAATATGAGTCAAATAGGAAGTGTGTTTTAGTGTTATCATTACGCTTGGTCAAAGTTCAATTGACTTCTCCTTAAGAAAACCCTAATTTAGAAACTTTTGACTTTTGATGAATCTTGACTTTTCTTGATGAATCATGATCAACCCTTGATCAAATGATGAATGTTACTTCAAAATGTTGACGTTGACTAAAAATCTTGAAGTTTGACTATAAATTGGTCAAAGTTTACTTTTACCCAATACAGATTATTTTCAATCATTTGACTAATTGACTGAGAAAACTTGTGCTGCAAGGCTTGGAATTTTGCATGAGGATTATTTGAGATAATTCAGAAACCTGCACCAGTGCTTATGACTGGGAACAAATGATTGACATTAGTACTTATGAGTTAGAACAAATGATTGACATCAGTGCTAATGATTGTGAACAAATGATTGACATCAGTGCTTATGACTAGGAACAAATGATTGACATTAATGCTTATGACTTAGAACAAATGATTGACATTAGTGCTTATGATTGGGAACAAATTATTGACATAAGTACTTAATACTGAGAACAAATGATTGACATCAATTCTTATGACTGGAAACAAATGATTGACATCAGTACTTATGACTAGGAACAAATGATTGACACCAGTACTTATGACAGGGAACAAATGATTGACATCAGTACTTTTGACTGGGAACAAATGATTGACATCAATACTTATGACTGGAAATACATGATTTACATCATTACTTATGACTAAGAACAAATGATTGACATCAATGCTTACTACTGGGAATAAATTATTGACATCAACACTTATGACTGAGAACAAATGATTGACACCATTACTTATGATTAGGTACAAATGATTGACATCAGTGCTTATGATAGGTAGAAATTATTAACATCAATGCTTATGACTGGGACCAAATGATTGACATCATTCCTTATGACTAGGAACAAATGATTGACATCGATACTTAAGACTGGGAACAAATGATTGACATTAGTACTTATGACTCGGAACAAATTATTGACATCAGTACTTATGACTCAGAACAAATGATTGACATTAATACTTATGAATGGGAACAAATAATTGGAATAAATGCTTAGGACTGGGAACAAATGATTTACATTTGTACTTATGACTGGAACAAATGATTGACATCGGTGCTTATGACTGGGAACAGATGGTTGACATTAGTACTTATGACTGGGAATAAATGATTGACATCAAAACTTATGACTAGGAACAAATGATTGGCATCAGTACTTATGAATGGGACCAAATTATATACAACAATACTTAGGACTGGGAACAAATGATTGATATCCGTACCTATGACTGGGAATAAATAACTGACATTAGTACTTATGTTTGGGAACAAATGATTGACATCAATATTTATGACTAAAAACAAATGATTGACATCAGTACTTATGACTGGGAACAACTGATTTACATCAGTACTTATGACTGGAAGTAATTAATTGACATCAGTACTTATGATTGGGATCAAATGATTTACATTAGTGCTTATGAGTGGGAACAAATGATTGAAATTAGTACTTATGACTGGGAACAAATGATTGACATCAATACTTATGATTGATAACAAATGATTAACACCGACACTAATTAATGGGAACAGATGATAGACAATAGTACTTAGGACTGGGAACAAATGATTGACATCAATACTTATAACTAGAAATAAATGATTGACAATAGTACTAATGACTGGGAATAAATGATTGACATCAGTGCTTATAATTGGGAACAAATAATTGACATCAATGCTTATGATTGGGAACAAATGATTGACATTAATAATGATGACTGGGAACAAATTATTTACATCAATACTTATGATTGGGAACAGCTAATTGACATTAGTACTTATGATTGGGAACAAATGTTTGACGTTTAAACAACCGGCAGAGTAAATCATTGAGATGAAATCGATGAAGTCGCCATCGAACATTTTTTATCCCACAGGAATGGAAAGGTAAACATCAAGTAAACTTGAGAATTGTGATATCAAGGTCGAACGACCAAGAGATACGGTTAAGGGATTCTGTTACGCGAGGGGAAGGTATTAGCACCCCACACGCCCGTAGTACTCTATGATATCCCTTTATTTTTTTCTAATCAAAGGGTATGTTTCAAATATAAGTCTAATGAAAAGAGGGAATGCATGCAAAAGAAAAGAGAAAATAATGTAGAGAAAATAAAGTTGTGCTTGTTTGGGCCCTGCCCCAATGCCTACGTATCCCTTTTAAGGAATTAGAGCAGCTGTAGTTCGGCTCACATTTTTTGATTTGTTTGTATTTTTTAATGAACAATATTAATTTCGCATTCTGTCGCAGCTCAACCTTTGGAGACTCACGCGTCAGTGCAGAAGTGAATTAACATGTTCTTTTGAAAAAGTTTGAAAGAAAGGCCGGAAGGCGAAAAAAGTTTGTATTGGTTGATATTTTTTACCTTGAAGAAGGATTTGAAAATTGTTAGATGTCTTATGCATTTCCCAAGAAAAATAGTTTTAGTCTTAATGCAAGGATGCAAATGAAAGAAAAACATCTAAGGGAAACTAGCTAAGTTTATCCCTAATGTTATCATACAATGGTGGTCCTATGGTCGAGGATAAAAGGGAAATATCTAACCTACGTTAGTATGCATGGATACCTATCCTAATGTCTAGCTCAAGAGCTACTCTAATCGAGCGTTCCTGAGGGAAGCATGGTATAGCAAATAAATAAGCAAACAAGTACTTTGGCAAAAGCACACAAATATGAGTAGCACATACTAACTCAAATGGATAGGGGAAACAAGAGAAATGCTTTAGCTAAGGGGAACGGATCATCCAAAGCAAACAAGCGGGAGACAAATGAAGTAAAAAAGAAAAGAAATATTTTAGCTAAGGGGAGCAGATCACCCGAAGAAAACAAACGGGTAGCGAAGTATCAACAATGGATATTGCGAACTCCTGAAAAAGTGTGGGGATTGGTTGGGGACCCTTCTCCACATGAACGACTCGATACACAAGATCTGCATAAATCTTAAGCATCGGTGCACTACACGAGCTAAGGATGACATGGACTATAATGTGTGGGGGTTGGCTGCTAATCCTCTTCGCTTGCCTCTTTTTGAGGACTTATCATCTGCAATATATGGGGGCACAAATCTAAACACACGTTCATAATACCTACTTCAGCAGTAGGATTTTAAATAAACACAGATAGCATACAAAATGCGGTGCCTGCTACAAGACTTTAAACAACGACTTCGAGCACATACTATTTATTTCCTACTTCTTATGATATCTAGAAAGCAGTAAAATGCTGAAATGAGAAAAACAAGATAAAATACCAAACAAACAAGTGTTCGTCGCACAACGAGCAAAGTAGAGAAAGCCAAAAAACTTTGAGCATGCTTCAGTAAGAAATAGAAAAGAGTCAAAAATCAAATGCTCGTAATACGCATCGAAGCATCATCAATATGAAAAATCACAATTGCATTCTCAAGCATATTCGCATATCACACAATAAACCCGCATAAGACTCAAATCTCAATAAGTAAAGGTGAATTACAAATCTCAAATAATCAGATAATCTTGATTTAATTCCTAAAATCAAATAAAAAAATCTAACAATTTTGTATTTGATTTTATTAATTTTATTGTGTGAAGAAAAAGTTTAAACAAAATTAAACAATTATCAAAATTATTCAAAAGAAAATTGCAAATAGCAAAAGAAAACAAGCCCAATGGGTGCAGGCTGGACTCCATGTGGTATGCTGAAGCAACTTAAATAGGCATTAAGCCAAAACTAAACTCAGTCCAATGAGATATTTTTGTGCACAGACTTCAGTCTTCTCAAAAAACACAACAATGGGCTTATGAAACTGGGTGACTCAGTTTGGTCCAGCCCAATAACACACACTGGTGACTTGTGAGAGCGAACTTAGGGTTCATGTGTTGTGATTGTTTAACTTCTAACATAAAAATAATGATTTCTTTTTCTCTCTTATACAGACTTCAAATCGTGGCATACAACAAAACTCATTCTCTTATCTTCTTCGTGAAACGGAAAAGCTGTCTCTTCCACCGATCTTCCAACGCCGCCACCGTTCATCATCTCGACATTTCACCTCATTCATTCTATTCTCTCTTGTCTCTGTCCCTTTGTATCGCAACTCCATCTTCTTCTCTTCATCACACCGCCGCGGTTCATGATTCGTGCAAAAGGAATATGATGATGCACGAAACTCTCGACTTCACCGGACTATATGTTATGATATGATTTGGAGTAAGAAACAAACATATGCAGACTAAAATACTAAATTACTTACCTACCGGAGCCACTCCGACAATTGCTTCAGCGACGAGGAGGAGAAACCAAAGGACACTTGATGCTCAAGTATGCGATTCATTTTTGATTATCCTTTTCTTCTCCAATTTCTTCTTTGATTCAGTTTTCCACTACTCTTTCTTGATTTCTTCAGTGAACTGTGGAGCTCTTCAGGAATTGTTATTGTTGTTACGTTTAGAGTAATGAAGAGGTATTACATAGATTAGGGAGAGGTTATTGAAGGTTGGAAGTGAAGGATGGTGCGATGATGTTTCATATAGAATAGTGAAGGGAAGAAGATGAACAAGGGTGAAACTAGAAAAATGGTGAAGCGTGAGAAAAATGGTGATTGAAGAGTTATGCGATTATGAAGGTTCTGCAGAGAAGAAATTTGCAGAGTTTTTTTCTGTGAGTGATTTGGAAGATGAAGTTGAAAAAATGGAGAGCGAAGATTGGGAGAGGAAGAAGACCGAATTTTTGGAGAGTAATCCTTATGTAGAATTATGAAGAATCCCCTTAATCTGGTGCATTTATATTTTTTTTATAAATTTGTTAGTTTGTTAGAAAAAGTTAGTTTGTTATAAACTGTTATGAGTTTCTTTTTGTGTATTTTTCAAATGGTCCGATCTTTACCTATTTTTATTCACTTGCCCTGATTTTTGTACTGAGGCAGATTTATATTGATCTTATGCGGGACTTTGTACTGATTTTGCTATGTATTGTTAAGTTGGAAATTCCTTCTGACTTAATTCATTTTATTTCCTGATTTTATATTGATCTTATGCGGGGCTTTGTACTGATTTTGCTATGTATTGTTAAGTTGGAAATTCCTTCTGACTTAATTCATTTTATTTCCTGATTTTATATTGATCTTATGCGGGGCTTTGTACTGATTTTGCTATGTATTGTTAAGATGGAAATTCCTTCTGACTTAATTCTTTTTATTTTCTAATTTTATATTCTTAATTTTATGCTAATGAGTGCAGTAGTATGGTAATACAATGACCTTGAATGCGGACTTAATTCTTCCTTTCTTTTTGAACAGGTTCAGCCATATGGATGCATGAAGATTAAGGTGAAATGGGTCTGTTAGGTACGAATTTGCACCGTTATATTTTTCCTGTACCATTTTCTATGGAACTTGCGTTATCTGCTTTTCTCTACACTAAACTGGTAGGCGTATGCCTTACATTGGATAATGATGTTTGGAGTTTCTTTTAAAAATTGAACTATTTTAGTGCTCTTTCTGAACTGGTTTCATGAACTGCAGTTTGTTCCCTTTGATTTTTCTGCTATGAATATGTGTAGGGTCTTGATGTTTGGTAATGGAATGTTATACAAGTTATAAGGTCTGGAAGATAAAAGCGTATCAAGTACATAGTGAAGTGCAAATGAAACTTGTCTTGATTATTCCAGGAGCACTTGGCTTGACCATTGAAGTTGGCATGAAGCACACGAAACTTGGATCTAGAGTTTTAGCACCTTTAAGTCCAAAACATACCTTGATGGAATTTTCCTTTTTGTAATTCTTTAAGGTGTAAAGGGATGATTCATAACTTTATTTATGTAACTTTGGATGGGATTTGAATTTGTAATGAACAAAATTCCTTGAATGTAATGGCCTTTTTTTGAAATGGCATAGTGGCACAATGTTGTAGTTTGACATCTCGATGGAATTTGTATGACCTTACACTTTTTGAATGAATATGCCTTGCAATTTTAAGGTCTTTGGATGAAGTTTGGACGAAGTATTGGAGCAACTTGAATTTGGATAATACACCGCAACTTGAATACCAACTTGAACTCGATTTGAACTCAATGGTATTTGCAATGAATACAAAAAATCCATCTTACACCTCAATGAATAAAACCAACACTTTCAACTTGTTCTTCAAGCAATTTAGGGTAATGAACCTTGAATCATGTTAAAGACTCCCATGTAATTTCCAACCTATCAGATGAATATAAAATGGAAACTTGACTTGTAAGCTTCCTCCTTTAAGCTCTTGTGAATCAATTAAACGTGTATGTCATTTTTGATGCTTTAGAATGCCATAAATATAATCACAAGGAATCAGATCCAAAATCAATTCAAGGCCATGTTTGACCCCCTAATGAAGTCCTTATTCAAGTTTTAACTTCAAATTCAATAATTCCTTATAGCTCATGTAACAAATGCGCCTTGAATTGGTGAAAGATAGATACCCGGTAGATATTACCAGATAAACCAAAATCTTGACCAAAGGATGAACACCACTTGATTATAATGAGAAGAACGCCTCTGATGAAAACCAAACTAAGACCAATCACAAAGGAATAGAAACCCTAAATCCTTTAATCTTGATGATCATTGCTAGAGGATAGCCTTGTAACATAATGAAGAAAAGATCCAAAACAACTTAGAATCAAAATCCTAATTCCATACTTCTCTGCTTGAAGACCAGAAGAATAAAAATTATTCAGTGTATACACCTCAAAACCAATAGAAACTCTATTTGCACGATCATTGATCTTTTCAATCTCAGGTGCCTTTGTGGATGCATGTACGCTATGCAAATGATATGTTAATGACATAATGAAAAGATGCCAATAGGATGCTAAGCCTAAGCCAGATAAAAGAAATTAGGAGCCAAATTTTGGGGTACAATAGACAACAACACTTATGACTAGGAACAAATGATTGACACCAGTACTTATGAATGGGAATAAATGATAGACAATAATACTTAGGACAGGGAACAAATGATTGACATCAGTACTTATGACCGGGAACAGATAATTAACATCAGTACTTATGGCAGGGAACAAATAATTTACATCAGTGCTTATGGCAGGGAATAAATTATTGAAAATAGTACTTAAGACTGGGAACAAATGATTGACATAAACACTTATGACTGAGAACAAATGATTGACATCAATACTTATGATTGGGATCAAATGATTTAAACCAGTGCTTATAACTGGGAACAAATGATTGAAATTAGTACTTATGACTGGGAATAAATGATTTCCATCAACACTTATGATTGAGAACAAAGGATTGACACCAGTACTAATTAATGAGAACAAATGATAGACAACAATACTTAGGACTGAAAATAAATGATTCACATCAGTACTTATGAATGACAATAAATGATTGATATCAATACTTATGAATGAGAACAAATGATTAACATCAATGCTTATAACTGGGAACAAAAAATTGACATGAGTACTTATGACTTGAAACAAATGATTGACATCATTGCTTATGAGTTTGAACAAATGATTGACATCAATGCTTATAATTGTGAACAATTGACTGACATCAGTGCTTATGACTCGGAACAAATGATTGACATCAGAGCTTGTGACATGGAACAAATGATTGACATTAGTGCTTATGAATAGGAACAAATGATTAACATCAGTACTTATGACTGGGAACAAATGATTGACATTGGTGCTTATGACTGGAAACAAATGATTTACACCAGTACTTATGACTGGGAACAAGTTCTTGACATCGATACTTATAACTAGGAAAAAATGACTTACATCAGTACTTATGACTGGGAACAATTGATTGACTTTAGTATTTCTGATTGGGAACACATGATTGACATCAGTACTTATGACTGGGAAAAAATGATTGACACCATTACTTATGACTAGGAACAAATGATTGACATCAGTACTTATGACTGGGAACAAATGATTGGTATCACATGACTGAGAACAAATGATCGACATCAATACTTATGACTGGAAACAAATGATTGACATCAATACTTATGAAGGGGAACAAATGATCGACATTAATAATTTTGACTAGGAGCAAATGATTGACATCAGTGCTTATGACTGGGAACAAATGATTTACATCAGTGCTTAACTGGGAACAAATGATTGACATCAGTGTTTATGACTGGGAACAAATGATTGACATCAGTACGTAAGACTAGGAACAAATGATCGACATCAGTACATATGACTAGGAATAAATGATTGACATCAGTACTTATGACTGGAGACAAATGATTGACATCCATGCTTATGACTAGGAACAAATGATTGACATAAATGCTTATGACTGGGAACAAATGATTGACATTAGTACTTATGATTGGGACCAAATGATTTTCATAAGTGCTTTTGACTGGGAACAAATGACTGACATTAATACTTATGACTTGAAACAAATGATTGACATCAACACTTATGACTAAGAACAAATGATTGACATCAGTACTTATGAATGAGAACAAATGATAAACAATAATACTTAGGACTGGGAACAAATGATTAACATCAGTACTTATGACTAGGAATAGATAATTGACATCAATACTTATGACTGGGAACAAATGATAGATAACAGTACTTAGGACTGGGAACAAATGATTGACATTAATACTTTTGACTGGAAATAAATGATTTACATTAGTACTTATGATTAGGAATAAATGATTAACATCAGTGCTTATGACTCAGAACAAATAATTGACATTAGTACTTATGACTTGGAACAAATGATTGACATCAGTGCTTATGACTATGTACAAATGATTGACATTAGTTCTTATGACTGAGAACAAATGATCGACATCAATGTTTATGACTGGGAACAAATGATTGACATCATTTTTTATGACTGGGAACAAATGAATGACATCAATGCTTATGAATGGGAACCAAATATTAACATCACTACTTATGACTGGGAACAAATGATTGACATCAATGTTTATGACTGGGAATAAATGATTGACATCAGTGCTAATGACTGGGAACAAATGATTGAAATCAGTACCGATGACTAGGAACAAATGATTAACATCACTACTTATGAGTGGTAACAAATGATTGACATCAGTACTAATAAAAAGGAACAAATGATAAACAACAATTCTTAGGACTGGGAACAAATCATTGACATCGTTACTTATGACTGGATATAAATGATTGACATCAGTACTTATGACTGGGAACAAATGATTGACATCAATGCTTATGACTGATAACAAATAATTGACTTGAGTACTTATGTAGTGGAACAAATGATTGACATCAGTGCTTATGAGTTTGAACAAATGATTGACTTCAGTGCTTATAATTATGAACAAATGACTGACATCAATGCTTATGACTCGGAACAAATGATTGAAATCAGAGCTTGTGACTTGGAACAAATTATTGGCATTAGCATTTATGACTAGGAACAAATGATTGATATCAGTACTTATGACTGGGAACAAGTGATTGACTTCAATGCTTATGACTGGAAACAAATGATTGATATTAGTACTTATGACTAGGAACAAATTATTGACATCAATACTTTTGACTTGGAACAAATGATTTATGTTGCACCCCAAAATTTTCCCTCTCATATTTCTCCAAACATTGCAAGAAAAATCTCCAAGTGGCTCAAGATTGCTCAAGAGTTGGACAGTCAAGCTATCTCCTAAGGCAGTCAATCCCAAATTAGGGTTTTGTGTTGCATCAAGATACTTGAATCCAAATGACCTCAAGTGATCCCCAATGTACTAATATGCTCTCAAGATCATCCATGCCAAATTTCAAGCCTTGCAGAGGAAGTTTGCTCAGTCAATTGCTCAAGGGGTCCAAAAATCGACTGTGCTAGGGCAAAAGTCAACTGTGACCTACAAACAGTCAAACTTCAAGATTTTTTGTCAACACTTTCATTTTGAAAGATATTTCATCATTTGATCAAGGGTTGATCATGATTCATCAAGGACTGCTCAAAATTCATCAAGACTCAAAAGTTTCTAAATTAGGGTTTTGTAAGAAAAGTCAAACCAACTTTGACCAAACATAACTTTCTCATACTTTATGAGAAATGACACATCCAAAGCTCATTTTGAATAGGATGCAATTTCCTACAATCCATCTTCATACCCCAAGATCAAGAAATGCACTTACAAAAAGTTACAAATTTGGACATTATAGGTCATTTTTGAAAGTCAACAAAAACACCTTTTTTGCCAAAGCTTATAACTTGAGCATGGAATATCAAAATTAGATGAGACCAAAAGGGCTGGTTAGAGGACATCTCAATATTTCTAAAAAGTCCAAGAAGACTTCTAAAAGTTCAAAATTGTAGAAGTTATGCATTGTTGAAGTTGGGCATTTTTGCAAAATTGCCAAAAGTCAACTATCCCCAAACTTTAAATTTTGTCAAATGGGCCCATTCTTTTCCACTTGATTTGGGCTTTCCACATTCCACACGTGTCCTAGCATCATCCTTGTGTCCATTTATCAATTTTATTATTTTATTTGATTTTTTATTAAATTGTTTCATTTTAAATCAATTTAAATCAAATAAAATCCCAAAACTTGATTACATGAGATATTTTTCTATTTTCAGGACCTAATCACCATCAATATCATGATCAAACTCGTATCAAGTATTCCATGTGCAAAAAGATTGGATTTTTGACAAAATAGGCAAGCTTTCAATGGTGGATCAAATCAAATCCCATGGCATCAATGTGCAAGGATTCAATCCGCAAATGTT